TTTTGAAACAGATCAGAGTTCCTGAAGACGCGAGCGTCATGTACGTTTCCCGGCCATCCCATGTTGATGTTGGTGAAACATCCCTTGTGATCCACCAGTGCTTACAGCAGCATTGAAAAGTACCCCTTGCGGTTTATGTACTCGCTGGCTTGGTGCTCCGGTGACAAGATAGGGATATGGGTTCCGTCTATCGCCCCACCACAGTTAGGGAATCCCATTGCAGCAAAGCCATCCACTATGACCTGCACGTTTCCCAGAGTCACTACCCTTGATAGCAGCAGCTCAGTGATTGCATTGGCTACTTGGATCACAGCAGCCCCCACAGTAGATTTGCCCACTCCAAACTGATGCCCGACTGACTGGTAGCTGTCTGGCGTTGCAAGCTTCCACAGGGCTATTGCCACTCGCTTCTCAACTGTGAGGGCTGCTCTCATCTTGGTATTCTGGCGCTTCAGGGCAGGGGAAAGCAAGTCACAAAGTTGCATGAAAGTGCCCTTACGCATGCGAAAGTTTCGCAGCCACTGGGAATCATCCCAGACCTGCAACACTATGCGGTCCCACCAGTCTGTGCTTGTTTCCCGGGCCCAGAATCGGCGTTCCACAGCATGAACCTGCCCCATTAACACCAAGATGTGCACACTGCCGGGGCCCGTACTTTGTGAGAAGTCTATGTCCATGTCTATTTCCTCATCACTCTCGTCACCGCGCTGCCGTCGCCTCCTAGCCTGGTTTTGCTTTGGAAGGTTCTGCATATACTCCAGGATAATGCGCGTGCTGGTTATACTGCTCATAATTGCCGCGGTGATCTGAGCGGGCTCCATGATACCAGTGCTATGGCGTCTGGGCTGAAAAAAGGGGCAAAACGATTGTCTGCCGTTGCTTTCACGGAGGGAGGGAGGCAGTGGGGGTCTGACGACATGTACCCAGAATCACCCGTGACACTGTTTTTGCCCCATCAGGCATTGGGATCTCAACCCAGAATTCCAATGGGCGGCAGAGACTGCGGGAACTGTGGGATAGCTACCCACAGTGCAACGCTCCGGAAGTCGACGCTAGCCTCGGTACTGTGGACTCAGTTCGTCGACTTAATGCACTTAGAGCATTTTGTGTGGGGACACACACAATCGACTGCATAAAAACGATTTCTAAAAAACGACTTCTCTGAATTCGACCTAATTTCGTAGTGTAGACATACCCCCAATTCCTCCATCTGGGCAATAATGGTGTGGCCAGCGGAGGTCTCCCTGATCTGTCCAAAAGCAGTTCTAACACTTCACTGAAGTCCCTCACTACAATCAAATTTTCTAGGGAGGAGTCAATCTAGAAAATAATTCATTGAAAAAGGAGAAATCATCTTCGTTGGGGCATAGAAGTTTACAAGAGTGTCTGTAACATCAGACATATGCACTTTAGCCATTAGCAGTCTTCCCTCCATGTCTAGCAATTGATAGGATTTGTGTGTTCAGGGTTTTGGGGTTTTTTTTTTTAATAGAACTAACACTCCTCTAGACTTGGCCAAGTCATTACTAAAACGCCATCAACAATCCCGCCTTTTTTCAGCTTTTCAGCCTCAGACTCAATTAGGTGGGTTTCCTGGAGGAATATTATATCAACTTTCAATTTTAAGTGAGATATAACATTTTTTTCTTTTTAGAGGGTTAACAATTTCTTTTATATCCCAAGAAACATGTAAGTAGATTAGCCATAGGTACTCACAAGGGAAGCAACCCCACATGCATCTTATGCTGTGCCCATCAACACCCAGGGGTAAAGGTAGGGTGAGAAGAATCCAAGATGAAGGGTATTTAAGGGAATTCATAAAATGTTTAGATGGAGAGAAGGGAGAAAAGATGGAGTAAGAGAATTGAGAGGAGGTAGGGCGGGCGGCTGTAAGAAAAACAAAGGTGTGAGAGAGCCCAAATGAACAAATCCCTCTGACCCACACTGAATGCAAAATAAATATTCCCAGGGTCCCTCCCCCAGCATTGCAAAAGGTGGTGGGGGGGGAGGTGTGATCATGCTTGAATACATTTTAAATAGTGTTTCTGGGCTAAAATAACAGAGCTATGCATTGAAGGTTAGAATCCTACAAGACAGATATCTGCTTGGGGGTCCACTAGAAAAAAAGAGGGCAGGTGGGAAACAAGAACAAACAACCCAAAACACCTCCTATAGACAAGTGGGTCCAAAATCCAGTGTACAACCTTTGATGGCTGGCTATTTAAAGGTCCATAAGAACTGAAATACTGCTCTCATCTCTTGGTATATCACCTGACATTACCATCTGCAATTTAAACTAAATACAATACTGGTATGCTGTTCTTAAAACATTAACAGTAAGGTAAAAAACACACCCCCCCCCCCCCCCCCCCCCACACACACACACACACCCCATCCTGAACCATAAAACCAGTAAAACAAAACCCCATAACCATTAAAAATGGAAGTCGGGAAAACCAGATTGATAGCTGACCAACCCCAGTTTGTTAGGCAAATCAATCACCCTCGGTGTCCCAGTGAGAGGACAGGATATAGCTACTGTCTCCTCTGGAGCCAAGCTGGTCGAGGTTCTTGCTCAGCAGGATGTGGTGTGTTGATTTGAGTCTGAGTGTCCAATGGTTCCATCTGGCTTGACACACAGGCAAGATGGGTTCCTTACCGTAGTGAACAGGCTTTTTTCCAACTATGGCCTAACTGTAGTCAGGAAAAATCATTATTTTATGCCCCTTCCAAATCTAGTTTCCTTTTTCTCAGGCTTTTTTAAGGATAGATTCTTTCACATTGTATGTTAGGAATTTTAATATAAACACCATGGGTTTTGCATTAGCTATAGGCTTAGGTGCTGAGGGCTTCAGCAGTGGGCACTTTCTATGTCCAGATCTGTATCAGGGAGAAAGGAAAGGATCTCAAGTAGAGGCTTAGAAAAAAAATGTACTGGCCTGTCCTTTTCCAATTCCTAAGGGAACACAACCATCCTCAAATTATTTCTTCTGGATTGGCTCTCCAGATGGTTGATCCTACTTTATACCTTTGGGATCACACTTTGTGGTTGGTCCGTAGTGATCGCTACGAGCCCATATTGTCTTCTAAAGTAGAGATTCTAGTTTCACCTTCCCCAATCCTGGAGGATAGCCCGCCCTTGCACACTGATCTGGTGTGTTGTAGTTGTGGCTTTAATTTCAGGGATCTCTTCTGATATTTTCCTAAGTAGGATCTGCTCTTCAAATACCTGCTTTAGCATTTTATAGACTTGATCCAGACCTCCTCCATGAGTGGCACCATGCTGCCCTGCACTGGGATCTCAGAGATCCTCTGCTTCTTTGCAATTTGCAGAGAGTCTGGGGAGGAATGGAGGTTCAAAAGCAAATCCACCCGTTACTAAGATGTTAAAGAGCAGGGAGAGACAAAAACTGTGGCTTTAGAATAGCGGATGTTGGTGGGTTTTAGTGGGATTGAGCAGCAGCTCCAGATCTAAGCAACCATTTTCCCCTCCTGGCTCCCAGAAGACTCATATTTAACAAGAATATTTTAAAGCACTGCCTTTTTTATTCCTCTGTAACTCACACAATAAGCTGATTTATATCATGATATTAAAATAATTTATATTAAAATACTATGTGGATGACACTTTTATTCCAACTTCTCAAATAAGACTCAGAACGAATTTTATATGTCAGAGTTACCTAGCCCTGGGGGGCGGGAAAAAGTGTGTTGATTGAAATGATGACAGAACTTTACTGATAGAAAGCAACATCACCACTTTGGAGTTACATAGTATTTTTGATCTTCAAAGGGCTCTATGGACATTGACACCTTACTGTACCTGTATAAGGAAGGTATGTAAATGTTGTTATCCACATTTAACAGATGGGAAAATAAGGCAATGTGATTAGAGGATTTGCCTAAAAACCCAACATAAAAGGGACCAGGATAAGAATTCAGGAATTCTTGTCTCCCCGTCCTGTGCTCAGACCATTCCTTCTCAATGATTAATTGTGAACATATAAATTTCACTAAACTTTACCAGACAATACTAGAATGATTTACAATAGACCTGATCACAAATACAAATGTAAGATTCCTGAGTTGAAAACTGCAATGTCTGTGATCAGATGAAAAAAATATATATAAGTTGCTCTTTTATCCTGTCTGTTTCAGATTCCAGGCAATGTCACTGTTTGACAGCATGATTACAGGGGATTGCACATCAACTCAGGTAAGTAATGTGTTAGATCCAATGCTCTTGAGGACTTGCTTCAACCCCTAGCAGTGCTGGTCAAGTCTGCACTCTATTCCAGGACACAGTAGTGACCTTTCTAATTTTCTCCTGGGAAGAAGGAGGAGTCAAGCACTTCAAGCGTAATGAATGGCTTGTTAAGAGAGCTAAAATATGTCTGTAGCTGATGATGAAATCTGCCCTCAGCACAGCCTGAGGGGGACAGATTTGGGGGCTGTGAAAAAAACAACACAACCTTGTTCTAAAATAAACTTAATCCCAATAAAAAGAAAGGGAAAATGCAAGTCTGAAATCATTAAATCATCTAATTCATACAACTGAGTTTGCACCCCATATAGATTCTTAATTCATTTTAAAGTAATCTATTTCTTGATCATAATCTACATCGGAGTCGGCAACCTTTCAGACGTGGTGTGCCGAGTCTTCATTTATTCACTCTAATTTAAGGTTTCGCGTGACTGTAATACATTTTAACGTTTTTAGAAGGTCTCTTTCTATAAGTCTATAATATAACTAAACTATTGTTGTATGTAAAGTAAATAAGGTTTTTAAAATGTTTAAGAAGCTTCATTTAAAATTAAATTAAAATGCAGAGCCCCCCGGACCAGTGGACAGGACCCGGGCAGTGTGAGTGCCACTGAAAATCAGCTCGCGTGCCACCTTTGGTTGCCTACCCCGATCTACATAATACTATATAACAGTATTAACGAAGTATAGCATTATATAATAACTGTATTAACAACAACGCTTACTTGCTTCTTACCTTTTTATCTTATACATGTGTTAAGAAACAGATGACCCTGTGCCTATTCATGACGACTGCTGCACAATCAGCCAGTTCTGCTGAATCAGTATGTTCTATTTGATTCTGAAAAGAAAAAAAGAAAAGCAGACTTTAAGATTGGTAATTCTGTCATGAACCATGTTTTCTCAATACAGGAAGTTTGTTGCAGCTAGCACAAGCACATTCAGCAAATGCTGCAAATCTCCAAATGATTGAGTTTGTATTTGCAGCTTTTAATTCAAGGATCTATGTGCTTTGGAGGGCAGTAGCAGAAATATTCTGACTGAAGAGACCAGTGGTAACGGATATGTTGCTACCTGCTTACAATTATTCTTCATTTAATTGTAAACCTATAGAATGAGGCACCAACTGCAGTCATCCTTGTATCCTTGATGACCTTGACTGTAATGCTAATTTATGGACCTACTATAAAGTTAATTATTTTATATTACATTAAGCCTTCCAAGAATAAAAGCCATTAGATTTGATACTTAACAACTCATGACTCTCACACTCAGAATTCTTGAAACTCCTCCCAACGGCTTCCTGCTGATTTTTTTACTGCCAAACAACTGTGTTTATGCCAAATTATTCCTACAATCCCAGTCTCTCTCAATTTCCTAAAGGCTTTTAATCTACCACCACAACATCGCATCACCCCTTAACAGTGGGGGTCATGCAACAGAACAAGCATCCCTAGAAAAAGTATTTTACTCTTCTGAATAGAACATCTTCAATAGCATCATGTTTTCATTTGCATGTGGCTGCATCATAGTAGTAAACACAAGAGTATGACCTATCCGTGCACACTGGAAGCATAACCAGTAGTACATGACCAACTGCCAAGACTAGCCTAAAATAGAACAAGGACTCAATTAAACGGAGCTCATATTTTAAAGCGTGTTGACATTGTTTCTAATGCATTTCAACTGCCTAACATGTAATATGTTTATTAATACTTTGACACAGCTTGAAAAGACTCTTACAAAACCCCACTGAAATGGAAAGAGCTTAAAAAAATACAACTCTCCATGGATCAACACAATGTTCAGTGTTGCAGTACTATTTTCCCAGGGTTGTTTATTGTTCTCTTCAGAAATATGCCACAATAATAATTCCAGGAAGCTAATGAATTGAACAGTTGCAACCACAACAGTGGTGTTTACAAGTCTGGAATAAAATCATACAGCATCATAGGCTGGTAGTACCATTCCTGCATGCTAATTGTACTGCAGCACTTCTAAGCATATTCCTGCCTCCTTAAGTTAAGGAGACAGTCAAAAACTTGGGGGAAAAGAAATGAACTTCTATTCTGTGTTATCACTTGATATGTAAATTGGCAACAATACATACACAGAAGTGAGTGTGTGGGTGAATTCCATGAGCATGAAAGGTTCTCTACAGACAGATGAGGTACAGACAGCAGTGCAAGCTTCCCCATTACACTACCATGTCCCCTCCCTTACCTGAAGGATCACCCTGTAGATGGCAAAAGGATAGTTCAGCCTCCATGGCCCATTCAATTCTTGGTCTCTCTGCTGAGATTTTGAAAAGTGGGACCCACTTAGTAACAATTCTGTTCATGCTACGTGATGTGGACACTTGTCAACCAAACCCTGGTCACCAAATGCATTTCACGTGGGCCACCAAACTGCTATCTGATAGTAACAGATTTTGATCACTACCAATCAGAACTGGATTAGAACCAACAATCTATAGGTGAAAAAAATCACATATTCTGTTACCAATCCCCTGAAGCAAACAAGTCTCCCACAGAGGAAATATTTGGGGCATGCAGGGCAATAGCTATAAGAATAAAATGTGAAAACAGTAGAACTAATCTACTTTCTTTGGTCCCTTTTCCTGTGTACCAAATTTAACTTTTTCCTAATTGTTCAACCTGGAGAAGGAAACACAACCGAAGTATTGTCACCAGCCTCCAAAGAAAATTCCTAGAATATTACCCTGCAGTCCAAAATGCCCCTTTGTTTACACCATACCACGTACACTGGAACATCCACGAAGGTCAACCCAAAAATCAATGCACATTTACAAATATAAATGCAATATATTTATATAGAGAGAGCCATTTCAGAAAATAGATTAAAATGTAGGGGGGTTTTCCTCCTTTATTTTTTAAAAGAGAAAAAATAAGGAGGATAATAAAAGAGGATCTTTTCTAATAAAGAGAGTTAAAGGGGAAATAGATTAAAATAAAATCACAGATAATATTCACTAGCTTTGATGGTCAATGCTCTTAAGTTCTGCACAAATATCAACCTCTGCTTAGAAGGGACACCATCACCTGGGAGGAGTGGGAGAATAATACTTCCATCTCAGAAGTATTGCCTAGTAAATACTGCCTCAGTACGTGTGCCTAGTAAAACTCAAAATCACTATAACTGAAAGAGAAGGAAAAAAACCTCAAACATCGTTTACTTTGAGCATTTTAAGGCACGTTGACTGATTTGATAATGACTGGATGCATTTTGTCTCCTGCACTACTACGATAGGACTCTGCGACAATAAGCACCCCTGTATTCATACCATATACACTATTGTAATAATTTTTGTAAAAAATATGCCTTGTGAGGTATCATTTGAAAACTAACTCCTCACTGGTCAATAGCATCATGGTGAAATGTATGTAGCAACGTTATATGTAAAGTTATGAAATACCCCTGGATGATGTTATTAGCACGTGTTCAAAACCACACACCCCTGCCCAGGCAAAAGTTGTTGAACAGGTCTATCCTAAACAAAGGAATGTGTGTTTTACCTCAATTTATATATAAGTAGTAAACAGGGGCCTCGAGACAGCAGGGGGAGGAGATGAAAGGAGACTCAGGCCTTTTCTATACTACAGAGTTTTGTCGACGAAAGTCATGAAGACAATCTAAAAGTGTTATAGCAACATTGTTACTGCACGTTCACACTATGCTCCCTCTGTCAGCAGAGCATGTCCACAGTTGGAACTCTAGCATCAACAGTAAGAGCAGTGCTCTGTGGGTAGCTATCCCTCTGTGCTACTTGCCACCTTCTGCCACTAGGACTTGTGGAAAGGCAGAGTAGATCACAGCGCATCATGGGAGTGGGTTCAATGTCCCGTGATGCATTGTTTTCCGTCCCAGCATTCTATGGGCTTCCGACAGCATTTTACAGCATTTTTCAATGGCCCCCATATATTGAGTGCCTGCCCTCTCCGTCTGAAAGGATGAATCTCGCACTGTTCTCTAATGTTGTGGTCACTTTCATTAACATATCGCAGATGGTAATACAGTTAATCTAAAGAGGAATCAGAGGTGCCTGACCTGCTGTGTGCCATGGAAAGAAAACACCAGATTACTTTTGGCATTCATGGAGCAGCTGCACATGGTGGACTGTTGGTTTTGGGCACAGGAAACAAGCAGTAAGTGGTGGGATCACATTGTTATGGAGGTCTGGGATGACTAGCAGTGACTACAGAACTTTCGGAGGCAGAAGCCACCTTCTTGGAACTGTGTGCGGAGCTTGCCCCAGCACTGCTTCACAAAGACACCAAAATGAGAGCCGCCCTCTTGGTGGAGAAGAGCATGGCGATCACAGTGTGGAAGCTAGCGACTCCAGACGGCTACTGCTTGGTCACAAATCAGTTTGGAGTCGGGAAGTCCACCGTTGGAGCTGCGTTAACGCAAGTGTGCTGGGCCATTAATTTCATGCTGCTACAAAGACCATGACTCTTGGCAATGTGCGTAAAATATGGCTGGCTTTGCGGAAATGGTATTCCCTAACTGCAGCAGGGCAATAAATGGCACGCATATGCCAATTTTGGCACCAGACCACCTTGCAACGGAGTACATCAATAAAAAAAAAATTAATGGAGATATCCTATCTCCTAGAACTGGAAGGGACCTTGAAAGGTCATCGTGTCCAGCCCCCTGCCTTCACTAGCAGGACCAAGTACTGATTTTGCCCCAGATCCCTAAGTGGCCCCTCAAGGACTGAACTCACAACCCTGGGTTTAGCAGGTCAATGCTCAAACCACTGAGCTATCCCTCCCCCCTATAGCGAGTGCTTGGCTTCTATAAAATCGACCTAATTTCGTAGTGTAGACATACCCTTAGTGAGAATTGGTTTGATCTGTGATACCTGCATTCAGATAACTGACGTCCAAGAAGACTAATAATTGGAATCAGAGTGTTTTACCTTTAGGTCACCAGTTCAAGGTTGCTAAACACAAGGATTTACTACTTCACAATGACAAGGAGTCCGGTGGCACCTTAAAGACCAACAGATTTATTTGTTAGCGTTTAAGGTGCCACCGGACTCCTTGTTGTTTTTGTAGATACAGACTAACATGGCTGCCCCCTGATACTTCATAATGGTTCTTTGGTAGCCTCTCTATGAACTAGATGTCTTAGCCCAATTTCATATGTCTATATGACCAAAAAATCCAAAACTGTCAGTCTCAGTGGAAAGGCAAATTAATGAATGGAGTCTCCCCCTATATTTGGTTTCTCCAATCCAGCCTTGATATAACTGTGTGGTGAAACTTGTATTGATGGTACACAGGCTCTACCTGTGCTCTGTGGATAAAGAAGACTTCAGTTTTCAATGCTGTCAGTCTGCTGTCTTTCATGAGCACTAAAATTCACAAAGAGTTATTAATCCTTTGCAGAGATAAAGAACAGGGCTGTTTCTATCTAGCATATTCCAAACAAAAGTAATGGCAGGTTTGACAAAATGTCTTAGGCCTGGTCTACACTAGGAGATTATGTCGAATTTAGCAGCGTTAAATCGAATTAACCCTGCACCCGTCCACACAACGAAGCTATTTAGTTCGACACAGAGGTCTCTTAAATTCGATTTCTGTACTCCTCCCCAATGAGGGGAGTAGCGCTAAATTCGACATGGCCATGTCGAATTAGGGTAGGTGTGGATGGAATTCGACGCTAATAGCTCCGGGAGATATCCCACAGTGCACCACTCTGTTGACGCTCTGGACAGCAGTCCGAGCTCGGATGCTCTGACCAGCCACACAGGAAAAGCCCCGGGAAAATTTGAATTCCTTTTCCTGTGGCC